TTGGTGCACAACCTGACGCGCCGCATCTGCGCACGCGGTCCGATCTGTAGCGTCCGTCGCTTGGGCTCGGCGCACTGGTGTGGTAGTTTTCCGACGGCGATTATCACCCTTGACGTACACCGCGGATCTCGGTCGCGCGCGAACCGAAAGGAGAGCGCCAAGTCTACCACGACGCGAACCGTCTCGGCGTGCTTGTCCCTGACCTTCGAGTACGCAACGCCGTCGCTCTTTACAGTGCTAGTGTCCCGGCTCGCTTCTAGCGGCATCTCGTCGCTGCAGTCGGCGGGCTCGTTCGACGGGGCCGCCCCATTGATCATAGCGCACACAGGCCTCAACTTGGAAACGTCCTTGACCGAAAATTGACAAGGCGTGCAGCCCGTCTCAAGACGTACAGCGTACGTGCTCACAAACGGGGGTCTCGCGGCACAGCGTCGAGCATGAGCTCTAGCCCGTAGGCAGATCCCATTCTGCCGCGATCCCAGCAATATGACATCAACGAATTCACTCCAGCCCTGTTCATCGCCGCGACGTCGCCCCGGGTCCGATCTGCGTCGTCCCCGGCTTGGCCGACTACTAGCACGTTCACCTGCGCGAGTCGGCAGTTCTGAAGGATGCATATCCCTCGGCGCGTCGACTCTGTTCCGTCGCGCGACGAGTCACTCGCGGCGTCCGACACGCTCCTCGCAACCTCGAATTCCCAATCAGCCTTGACGCAAGGTGGGTTTCTGTTTATCGCGTCGTCGCACTCTGAGGGCTGTACTGACGTTGGACCCTCCACGTATTTCGACACTGCAACAGGCCTCCTGATCGGGCTCGACGCGTTCCTCGTTGCAGCAGGCTCGTTGCCGGCCGCCTGCATCCTAGCCGCGCCGAGGCCACTGTCCATCGCCCCGCGTCTCGCCTCCGCGTGACTGTCCATCGCGCAATGTAGAACTTCTGGCATCCTCGTCGCGCTCAGGCTCCACGCGGTCCGCGCTGCAGCAGATTGGATGCCAACTGCCTGCGCTCTCGCCGCGTTGGGGCCACTTCCCATCGCCCCGCGTCTCACGTTCGCGTGACTGTCCGTCACGCGATTTAGAACTTCTGACATCCTGGTCGCGCTCGGGCTCGACGCGTTCTGCGCTGTAGTAGGCTGGATGACCCCCACCTGAGTCTTCGCCGAGTCGGCACCGTCCTTCGCCCTGTGCATCGCGCCAGTGCAACCGGCCGCCGCGGAGCGTTGACCGCGTTCCCCAGGATCCGATTCCCCGGTGACCTCTCGGCGGTGCATCGTCTCCGCGCACCGGATCTGCGACGAGTTATTCGTCGCGCTGTCTTCTTGATCTCGTCGTACGCATCCAACAAGTGCGTCGGGCCCCGTGTTCCCGCCTCGACGTACGCCGTAACGCGGTTGTACGTGTAGTGCGTCACAGATTCGAAGTCGGTGTAGCTGCAGGCTGCGTGGCTCGTCGCCCGCCTTGCCCGCCATCTTCAGGACCGCAGACTTATTGAGTTCACTGGACACCCGTCGAGTGACAGCTGGTACCTTCGCCAGCAATCCTCCAGGTGGCGCGCCGTGGCATTCGGGCTTGTCCACAGGAAATCGCACCACTCGCCCCGCCGCGGCGTACCCGCCACTTCGATACATCGCGCAATTCGGACCAGCATCTTGCTCAGGGTTGACCAATCGATCTAGGTTTATGGCGCGGTGCCTCTCTTTTGGTGCAGACCCCGGTGGTCCTCCAGTCCTGCCACCGTCAGGCCCCTCGTCGACCACGTCGAAGTTCACATTCGGCTTGTTCTTCACGGGCTCGAGGGCGGAATGTCGCCAAAGACGCCACTTTCCAGCTTTGTCCCCAAGTCGCATTCCGTCGCAGGTCTGAGACCTCGCTACTGACCGTCGCATAGTGTCACATTCGGTCAGTCTCACGTCGTCGCGTCCCCTCGACCCTTCGCTCGACTGTCGCACGGTGTCACATTCGGTCCATCTCACGGTGTCGCACTTCTGGGACTGCTTCTGGGACGGTTCCGAGACGTTCCATCCCTCACATCTCACACTGTCGCACTTGTCCCTGTTGGATTTTGCAACTTGCGCGCGTTCGCTCGACTGTCTCACCCCGTCGCATTGCTGCGACCTTCCGCTGGACGGCGCGCCTCGCGCTTCGTCGCCCGACGCACCTTCGACGGGTTGTTCGACTCGCGACGCTTCAACTGGGCGCCCCGCATTGTCGCTTCTCTGCGACCCGTGGTCCGACAGTACACACGTCGTTACTACGTCGACCCGTGTCTTCAACACCACGCGCGACAGCGTCGAGTGGCCACGCGTCTGCAACTTGCTCACCGACGACGTCTCCACCGCTGGCGCACGGGTCAGCCCCGCTGTTGGTGACTTCACAGCGACTACTGAGATGTGGGCTTGCTATCCGCGTGAACTTCTTCCTCTAGCTCACCTCGACGCGCGTCGAATTCCAGATCTTCGTACGTCGGCCATCCATACATGGGCCAGACGAGCTCGTCTTCACGCCAGGTCTCGTCCTCGTCGCAGGTCACTTCATACGCAAGGTTTTGCCAATCTTGGTACTGTCGATTAGTCGCCAGCACGAAGCGGGGCGCAGGCGGAAACACATCGGAGGGTGCCCACCAACCCACGTTCGTGCCTGCGTCGAGCGTTATTGTCTCGTCCGTGACGTTGGTCACCCGCAGGTATGTTTGTCGCTCGATCTTAGTCTTAAACATGGTTGTAACCCACGTTGTTCTGCGCGTGACCCACAGGCGCGGTGCATCTCGGCTGGAACGCAGGCGGACGTCGAGTGTTTGCCCTGGGTCGAGTTGCTTAAGCGCGTCGAGTGAGACCGGCCGCACTCGTGCGTTGTAACGCGATTGCTCGGGAGTCGTAGAGGCCCGCGCCGTGCCCAACGGTCGCCTGGATGTCGTCGCAACCGGCACTGCGACGGACATCACGGCGTGATTACCAAGTCCTTGCTGGCGCATCTCCTTCGACGCGTCCCGCGCCGACATTTTCTGCGTCAAGTTTTTTCGCGTCGAGTTTCTTGGCTCGACATGAACCGCAGAGACATGGGTATTCGACGCCTGAGTTATCGTAGAGCGCGTACTCGCCTCTCCCAGCGCCTTAGGAATTGCTTCCTTCAGATCCGGCAGAACCTTGATACGCGCTGGCGTGACCTCACGGGGCGTAGCGCGCGGCGGCTCGCTCAGATGGTTGAAAACCTCGTCCGGTTCCGGTGAAGTCGTGGTTGAGGTCGCGGCCGTGGTTTTCGGCATCCCGAAGTCCACGTCAAACAAATCGGTGGGTTCGCCATCTACGTCGCGTCGGGGTTTGGACCTCGACGTGGAATGCACGCTCGACTCAGCCTGGGACGAAGTTATCATCTGCGTTGCGATTGGGCCCGTCCCAGGCGGAGTCACCTTGCGTTGGATGGATCCGACCAGGACCGTCAACGGTCCCAAGACGCCGCGGATCGTACGTGTCCACGACTCGACGTCCCAGTCATACACCCCCGTCCTCTCGGTGATGCCCAAGCTGAAGCCTGATTCGTGCAACATCTCGAAGAGTGTCCCTGCGGCTCGCGTGACGTTCGTGAGCATTTCAAAGTCCGGCACCCGGAAAGGACCCGTGAACTTGGTCGCGTTGGGCTTGATGAAACGCAGGATCGGATCGTGCTCCAGCAGCCGGATCAGCTCCACTCCAGCAAGCATATACCTCATCTCTGCCGCGGTGAACCGATTCCCTGTGTCATTGCCTCTCGCCTTGACCGGCGGTCCATCCGCTGAATCCGGCGCGCAGAGCTTCTCCGGAGACTTGCGCTTGCGCGACTCGAAGCTGCTATTGAAGTCCACACTCGATTGGTATCGAGGTGGCGGCAAGGGCGTGGTCGTCGAGGTCTGGTCTGAGCCCGTCGAGGAACTCGGCGCGTCTTGGCCCGCTGAGAAATTCGTCGCGT